CTGACCTTTGGTGTAGAGCTTAGATAGAGTTATTACCTTAGTACCAGGTCTAGATCTATGAAGTTCAGATTCCTCCAGGTGGTTGTTGCTTGGATCTGGCTGCTGGGCTCCACTTCTTTCTGCTGCAGCCATTAGTTTTGAGACCTTTGTATCACTCTGGCAAGATGTTCTGTTCCTGAATCAGCTGGGTGGGTCTTGTCTCTAGCCTCTTTGCAGGGAGTTCTGATGAAGTGTTCCACACTGGGCCTGCACTCTGCGTCGAATGGGGATCCAGTGGGCCCCAGGTGGTCTAATTCACACACCGGGCCTGTGCTCTGGGTCTATTTAGGACCCGCGGGCCCTGGGCAGTCTCACTCACATACTGGGTCTGGGCTCTTGTTCTATTCAGGATTCGGCACGTTCTGGGTTCTCTCACTCAAGCTGAGCCTGTGCTTTGGGTCTATTCAGGATCCAGTGGGCCCTGGGTACTCTCGCTCACACGCCAGGCCTGTGCTCTGGGTCTATTCAGGATCTGCGGGTCCTGGGCAGTCTCACTCACTCTCTGGGCCTGCACTCTGTGTCTATTCATGATCTGGTGGCTCCGGGCAGTCTCACCATAAATATTTTCGGCTTAATTGGTAACATCCTCAAACAGTGGACAATAGTTGTGAAAATTATAAGAACATTTTGATAGCACAACATTATTCAAATTATGAGTGTCTGGCCCTATTATTATACTTTCCTCAGTCACAAAATAGAGTGATTCTATTGTAATGTTGTGGCTTACTTCAAGTTATTTCACTTGCTAACCTCATGCAAGTCAATTTTTTTTTGGCTCATTAATAATATCTTTCAGGGGCTGGGGAGATAGCTCAGCAGAATAAGTGCTTGCCTGGCAAGTGCAAGGTCCTGAATTCAATCCCCAGTACTGAAAAAAAACAACACCAAAAATCTTTCAAAATGAAAATCCAGATTCCTGCTTACATGAGGGGCTGTCTGGGTTCTTCTGTACCAGGAAGACAGTGGAAACTACTTTAATACTTTAACACTGTCACGCAATGGGATTTTCAGGTAGAATACGTAATTGGATATAGTAATTGATTTTTTTGTCTTCCCTTGGGATCAAATTTACAAAAAACTCATAAAAGTACATAAAGAAGGGAGACCATGGTATCTTTCTGCTTGGTCCTCATCCAGCTTCAGGTTTCTTCCACCGAATCAGATAATGTTGCTCATGCTTGTGTCTTTGTTCGGGAGGCAGCAAAGTAAGGAGCCAAAATAATTTCTCTGCCTGAATGCTTTAATTCTCCATGTGGCACAAAATATTTTCCTGAATATGTGGAGAAAATTCCTGAAGAATCCACACAGAAGCTTTTTGAAGTAGCAAAAGAGTGCAGCATATATTTCAATGGAGGCTCCATCCCTGAGGAGAATGCTGGAAAATTATATAACACCCATCCTGTGTTTGGGCCTGATATAAATTTACTGGTAAAGCACAGAAAAATCCATATGTTTGACATTGATGTTCCTAGGAAAATTACATTTTAAGAATTTACAACATTGAGTCCTGGTGACAGTTTCTCCACATTTGATACCTCTTACTGCAGAGTGGACCTGGGCATCTGCTATGACATGCATTTTGCAGAGCTTGCACAAATCTATGCACAGAGAGGATGCCAGCTCTTGGTGTATCCTGGAGCTTTCAATTTGACCACTGGACCAGCTCATTGTGAGTTACTTCAGTGAGGCTATGCTGTTGGTAATCAGGTGTATGTGGCCACGGCCTCTCCTGCCTGGGATGACCAAGCACCCTACGTTGCCTGAGGACACAGCACCATTGGGAACCTTTGGGGTGAAGTCATAGCCAAAGCTAGCACTAAAGAAATGGTCCTGTATTCAGATATAGATCTGAAGAAGCTGGTTGAAATATGTCAGCAAATCCCAATTTTAAGACAAAAGCAACCAGACCCCTATGCAGCAGAACCAAAAAAGCCTAAGGATTATATTTCCAACATGTCATGGAACAGGAAGATATGGAGCATGATAAACTCCCTATTGAATCCTTTTTCTTGGGGGTTGGAATGATATGTGACCCCAGTTCTCACACCCTGCTGAGCATATGCTCTGTGAATTATACCCCTATTTGCTATTGAATTTATACTTTTTTTCTTCTCTTCCAATTTTAACTTTTTTTTTTTTTTTTTTTTTTTGAGATAGGGTCTGGCTATGTAAACCAGGTTGGTCTTGAACTCAGCAATTTTCCTGCCTCAGCCTCATGAATGCTGTGATTATAGACATGCACCACCATGCTGGGCTAAATTTTAGCCTCATCCTACCCAGAATGCCAAGGAGATAGCTCAGCACTCAAGTGCCTGCCTGTTAAGTATAAGGTCCTGAGTTTAATTCCTGGTATGAAAAATAAATACAATAAAAATGTTTACTTTTGGTCAGTGAGATAGCTCAGCAGCACAAGTGCCTCCCTGGCAAGCACAAAGTCCTGAGTTTGATCCCAGTACCAAAGTGAAACCAACAAACAAATACATGAGCTACCTAGAGAACTCTGTTGAGATGACAGAGCCTTAGCACGCTGTCATTTGCATACCATATTAAATAGAAAGGATCTAGGCCAGTGTCAAAGAGTAGAAAAGCATCTGCCATACTTAAGTCACTTCAAAGCAGCTAGTAAAAATAGCAGATCTTGGTGTCCTGGTGGTTGATTGACCTAATACAAATATGTTTATGTAATGACCCTTTACTCCCACTTGCTGGAGTTGGAACCCATTAGCTGCATAACTTGGTTTGGTGCTTATCTTCCAAAAAGTGCCTTAAAGTTAAGTGTGTTGGTCTTTTTAGCTGTGGGAAGCCTGGTAATATATCTTTTCTTTTTTTTTTCTAGAGGAATTGGCAGCTTCTCCTCTTCTAACACCTTGTAGGCTTTTCAGACTCAAGAAAGAGCTAGTGAGTGATTCCAACCCAGATTCTCTGGCCTTAAAAGACTAGGTCAGCAGTGATCTCCCTTGGGAGAATGGCAGTGGCGGTATTAGTGAAAGCATCTCAGTACAAATTGGCAAATGATTTTTTTCTGGTGGATTGTGTTTAAGTCTCAGGTCTTTGTGCTTTTAACACTTTCTCACCCTATAAAGAACTGCTGAGTCTAGTGGTTTCTAGACCTTTTAGTCTTTTCAAACTGTTTTTGCAAAAGTTAAGGACTTGAAAAAAAAAAGTACACAAAGAAACTAATAGACTAACCAAAACAAGTACAAACTATGAAAACATTTTTTTTTTTAAGTGTGATTAGTTTGAGGAATCTTTATGAAGGAAACAAATTTTGAGTTAGATTTTCCAAGGAGAATAGAAATTCCAGATTAACAGGAAGACATTCATAATGTTTATAAGGCCCTTAAAAATGGGGCAGGCAGAAGAATGCTCCTCTCTCCCCAACACATTCTAATCCTGTGAATGGAGCCTGACATAAAGGAGGTTGCAGATGTGATTAAGTTATGGACTTGGAGATGGTAGATTATCCTGATGCTAAGGTTGGGTCCAATCCAAGTACATGTGTCAGGGAAAGTTTTCTGTCCTACCTCAGAGTCAGAGGGAGATGTGTATACAGAAGAATGGTCAGAAATATGACGTTGCTGACTTTAAACATGAAGGAAGGGGGCCACAAGCTAAGGAATGTAGGTGGCATCTAGAAGCTGGAACGGGCAAAGAAATTCTTCTGTAGAACCTTTGAAAAGAAAAACAGTTGTGCCGATATCTTGATTATAGCCCAGTGAGAACTGTGTCAGACTCCTAATGCACAGAACTGTAAGACAACATACTTGAGTTGTTTTAAGCTACTAAATGTGAGGTTATGTATTACATCAACAATAGAAAACACGCTAGGGGACATCAATATTGTATTATTGTCACATATGGGGAAGGTGAGACATAATGAGATTAGGTTCCTGCCTGGTGTCACACAGCAGTATGGAATTCAGGGATGGTCACTGTTGCTTTGGTTATGCAATTTCATCTCTAAGGATTTCTTTTGTGTTGAGAGTGGGTGAGAAAGGAGGTCTCTAGAGAGGCTCTTGAAGGGAGTGTGTCACAAGGCTGGATAGTGAAGGCCTAGTTGACTCAGAATCTCAGCAACCTGGATTAGTGGAAGCCAAAAAAGTAACTGTCCCTTAGGCTAGGTTTGTACTCTGTTCCTGATTAATGTTCCTTGGTTGCTGCTTTGATCATGACAAACTTGTTTAATCAGTGTACCATAAACATGTTGTTAAGCAGCACTTTTCCCACACTTGTAACTTCGTTCAGGCCACCACAGGACAGTAAGTCTCTTTTTTTGGGCACTGGGTTGCAGGACTTCAATATGAAATCATACATTGCTGGGTCTTTTGTATCTTCCTCATCAAGTATCTTAAATCTCATTTAATTTTTTTAGTGATTAAAATTCACTTTCAAATTGACTGGCCTCTGTAAACTTGCTTCAGGCAGGGGTCATGAATTCACTAGGAGAGGTTGCCTTGGTCCTCAACTTGAATTTTTGTTGGTTCCTAAAGTAAACCTTACTATCAAGGCACACAATTGCGTTTTTCATTAAGTTTACATTTTCCTTTTCCTGAGCCCCCACAGCTCAGAGTACAGCAAGCGCTCTTGCTAAATATTCCCGTGGTACCCTTTTCTATTTTTCCTTTTGAGGGCTTAAATTGCCCAGGTTGCGCTGGAACTTGCGCTCCTAGCTGCCTCAGTTGTTCAGAGCGCTAGGATGGAGGGTGACTGAAGGTCCACTTCCTTCTTTACTAAGGTCCTCAGCGGGTGATGGAGGGTGTGGCACACACAACACAGGCACATCTGGTACAGCCCAAAGGCTCCACCCTAGACTGCAGGGTCAGGTCGCGCGGCAGAGTGGGAGGGGACATCTTCCGCCCCGCCCCGCCGGCCCCGACGCAGTCCCTCCGAACCCCGCCCCTCGCCCCGCCCCTCGCCCCGCCCCTTCACGCTCGCGCCACCTGCTGCTCGCCCCCGCCGTTCGCGCGCGGCGCCGCGCCTTGCTGGGTCCTCAGACTCCAGCCAAGATGGCGGAGAGCGGCGAGTGTTTGGGCACCGTCCCGGAGCACGAGCGGATTCTGCAGGAGATTGAGAGCACTGACACCGCCTGCGTGGGACCCACTCTCCGGTAAAAGTCTCCTGTTCCCAGGAGTTTGGGCTGCCCCACCAGCTGCTCCTCGGGAAACGGGCAAGGCGTCCACCGCCGGCCGCGCGCTCACCGGCCGGACAGGTGGTGCGAGCGCGCGGGGCGCTGGGGCCCGGGCGGGGCACCAAGGGCGGCCGCACCTGTCGGCGCGGGCGGGTCGCCCCCGCCTCGCCAGCTGTCACCGCGCCGCCGGTGGGTGTGGCTGTGGCGTCGCCCGCTTCGCTGCGGGGCCTCAGCTTGGTCCCGAGGACGCCCTGCGCCGCCTAGCCGCGTGAGGCCCCAGCGGAGCTGGAGGCGGCGGGACGCGGCGAGCCTGCGGCGGAGAAGGGCGAGGGCCGGAAGCCGGCTTCGGGAGCCGCCGCGCTGTGCGCAGGTGGAGAACACTCCCCGGAGGCGCTGCGCCTCGCGGCGCGCTGCCGGGGTGGGCGAGGGGGCGCAGGGCTGGAGGGCGGAGCTCGCGCTCTGCACTCGCCAGTGTGCCGGTGCCGTACCGGCAGGATTCTCCGAAGACTGAAGACTTTACTTACTGACAGACATTTCATTAATTTTGTATTATTTTTCCTGCACCCACCCATGCCTTTAAAAATAGTACAGTGTTAGGTAATGAATATTTCATGCTAGAATTTATTCCTGCTACTCTAATAGAATATTGGCTTGTGTACTGAACCATTGAAGTCTTGATCACTCTGTTTAGGAACAAGTTCCTTTTAAATGTAAGGTTTCATCTTTTTTATCTTTTTTGCGGAACTGGGGATTGAACTCAGGCCCTTGAGCCTGCCAGGGAAGCGCTTATTCCACTGAGCCATCTCCCAGCCCTGTGGTTTCATCTTTTGCAGTGATAACAGGGAAGCGCTTATTCCACTGAGCCATCTCCCAGGCCCTGCAGTGATAACAATAAATGAAATTGTGATTCATTTAGGGAGCTTAAAACTGCTTTATCAATGGCCCGGGAGATAGCTTAGTAGAATAAGTGGTTGCCTGGCAAATGCAAGGACCTGAGTTCAATCCCAGGTTCTGAAACAAAACAAAACAAAACAAAAAACCCTGCTTTATCAATAGTATTTCTTTCTTTCCTTCTTTTTCTTTCTTTCTTTCTTTCTTTTTTTTTTTTTTTTTTTTTTTTTTTTTTTTTTTTTTTTTTTTTTTTTTTTTTTTTTGGGCAGAACCAGGGATTGAACTCAGGCCCTTGTGCTTGCCAGGCAAGCGCTTATTCTACTGAGCTATCTCCCTGGCCCCAAAATGGAGCTTTTTGACCAGTGTAAATCCTTTAAAGTAATACCCACTTTGGGCTGTCCAGATAGCTCAGCAGACTAAAGCGTCTGTTTAGGCAGAGCGCAGCAGCCCGTGTGCAGTGCCAGCCCTGGCCCTGGGCGTTGAGACAGTGATTGAGACTGGGCATGGTGGCCTACGCCTGTAATCCCAGCTCTTGGGAGGCTGAAAACAGGAGACTCACTAGGGGTCTGATCTAGTAGTGAAACACTGTAGGTCCTGTACCAAAATGCATTAAAAAAAATAAAGTGATACCGACTTTGACCTAACAGAATACCTTTTTTTTTTTTTTTTTCCCTAGTCCTGCTGCTGAGGAAGTATGGAGACAAGGGCAAAAATTTAGCCTCTTTGGCTCTTATTTGTAGAATAGAGAGGGGAAGGTAGTGTTACTGTGTTCAGAAGGTCCAGAATATCAGGGATGTTTTCTGTTTATTTGCTTGTGGCATTTGTGGCATTGACATGAAGCCTTTAGTTAGCCATGTTGTAACTGTTTGGAACATAAAGTTCCTGCTAAGATATGATTGAGCATAATTAGTTGCTTTTTAAAATTTACCAATATGAATTTTTCTTATAGTAAAAGCTTAAACAATTGATAAAAATAGCATCAGATTAAAAGGAAGCTATGTTTTCTTCACTGCAGTTTCAAACTGTAGCATATAGTATTGATGACTAGTCAGTTTTCCAAGGTAGTGTTGCTTATGAAGGAGGTAGTTCATCTTGGGAAAATGTGGTAGGCAGTGTCCATGAAGAAAGATGAAAGTAACTTTGAAGAAAAGTTTGAATATATTGACAGACTCTTGGGATGCTCACAAACATATTACTATTTGGAATTGGAATGTTTACCCAGGGCCATTGTATTTTTAGAGCATATAATATGATTTTTGAATTTTGTGGAGGTTCACAGCTAAGAGTTTGCCTTGAGTCTCAAAGAAGTCTTTGAACTTGGACTTCTAAACAATGCTGGAACTGTTGAGACTGAGATTAAGTATAGTTCTAAGGAGATACTCTTGGTTGTCAAATTGACAAGGGGTGGATTGTGACAGTTAAGCTTGCTCATTAACTTGACTGGATTAAGAGATATTGGGAGATTAATAAAGCATACTGTTGGGTGTGTTTGTGTAGTTCAGTGAGACATGACCTTTGGGCCTCTGTCTGGCTCCTAGCTGCCTTTTCTCTTATAGGCTCTCTGCTTCCCTGATGCCATAAATTGAGCAGCTTTCTCCTGCCATGTTTCTGCCTTGGAGCCAGCTAACCATAATCTAAAACGTCTAAAACTGTGAGCCAAAGTACATTACTCCTTCTTTAAATTGTGTGTGTGGTATTTTGTTCTAGCAACAGAAAGCTGATAAATGCAGCTTCTGGCTGAGAGAACTAGAAAAAGAACAGCAGATGAAACTCAAAAGAGGAAAGAAGGAAGAAGATAAAAGGTTTGAATGTAATGAGAAAGGAAATAGAAAAACAGTGGAGAAAAATCAATGAAACAGAACAAAAAACCCCAAACTGGTTCTTTCAGATCAATAAAATGAGGCAAATTTCTAGGTTGGGAAGAAAGAAAAAAGATACAGAAGATACAAGAGGTAACATGATTACAAACTATAAATGTTTAGAAAGGCAGTAAATATTATAAAAAAACTTTATGCAAATTTTGATAGTTTAACAGAAATGTTCAAATTTGTTAGACGATACAAGAGTATTAAAGCTCAGGTAAGAAATAGGTATCCAAATATGCCTGTATCAATTAAAGAAATGAATTCTTTGTTAAAAACCTTCCCTAAAAGAAAATTTTAGGCCCAGGTAGTTTTACTGGTAAATTCTATGAAATTTGAGGAGAAAACAATACCAATTTTACAAAAAACTCTTTTCACACATGGTAATTGAAGAGGAAGACATATTTCCTCATTTTTAAGGCCAAAAGTAACTAGATAACTAATCAAGATATTGTTAGAGGGCCGGCCAAATAGCTCAACAGATTAAAGCACCTGCTCAGGCAGATGCAGGGGTCAGAGGTTTGATCCCCGGCCTGTGGTGCTGGCCCTGCCCCCAAGGCGCACTGAGATGGCAATTGAGACTGGGCATAGTGGTACGCATCTACAATCCCAGTGTTTGGGAAGCTGAAAACAGGAGAATCGCTACAAGTCTGATCTCTGTAGTGAGACTCTGTAGACCCTGTACTAAATACAAAGTAAATAAATAAATTAAAAAAATTAATTTTTTTTTTTTTTTTTTTTGCAGAACAGGGGATTGAATTCAGGCCCTTGCACTTGCCAGGGAAGCACTTATCCCACTGAGCCAACTCCCTGGCCTCAAAATTTAAAAAAAAGAGAACCAAAAAAAAAAGATTTGTTAGAAAAAGAGACTCTAGGGCTGGGGAGATGGCTCAGCAGAATAAGTGCTTCCCTGGCAAGCGCAAGGGTCTGAGTTCAATCCCCGGTTCTGAAAAAAAAAAAAAAAAAAAAAAAGAGACTCTAGACCAAAAATCCTTATAAACATAGATATAAACGTATTAAATATAGTTTTACAAAAAAGGACATATATGTGTTTATGTACAGTAATATATAGACATACAACATACAGATATTATCAAGTAGGATTTCTTTCAATAAAATATGTGGGCTTAATGTTTGAAAAATCAATTAACATTTTCATGATATTAAACTAAAAAAACGGGCTGGGGAGGTAGCTCAGTGGAATAAGCGCTTCTCTGGCAAGTGCAAGGGCCTGAGTTTAATCCCTGGTTCCACCAAAAAAAAAAAAAAAAAACAAAAAACCAGACAATTAAAAAAACAAAAACCCTGTGTCATTATCTTAATAGGTGCTGGGAAAACATGAACAAAATCTAACATTCATTCTTGATTTTTAAAAAACCCTAGAAAAGTAGTATTGCAATTCCTCAATTTGAAAAAGAGTACCTATGAAAAATCTATAGTTAATGTTATACTTAATGGGTGATAGGTTGAATATTTTCCTTCTGAAATTAGCAGTAACGTAAGGAATTTTTTTCTCTTTTGTCTTTTTGAGACAGGGTCTTGCTGTGTAGTGTAGGCTATCCTTAGTTCACTTTGTAGCCTAGGCTGGTCTCAAATTTGCAGTGATCTTCCTGCCTCCACCTTCTGAGTGGTGACATTACAGGCTCATGGCACCATGCCTGGCACCTAATGATATTTCTTTTCACCATTTCTCTTTTATTCAGCATTGTACTAGAGATCTTTTTTTTTTTTTTTTTTTTTTTTCCAGAACCGGGGATTGAACTCAGGCCCTTGCACTTGCCAGGGTAGCGCTTATTCCACTGAGCCATCTATGTCCCCTGTACTAGAGATCTTATCTTATACAATGAGGCTATTTTTAAAGAGCATGTAGTTTGGAAAACCATTTTTATTTGCAGACAGTATTATCATTTATATAGAGGATTCTGTGGAATCTACAGGAAAGCTATTAGAACAGGTAAATGAGTTTTAGCAAGTTGTAGTATACTAGATCAATATACAAGGACTAGTTGTATTTTTGTGCATTAGCAGTGAACATTCAAATTGAATTTTAACTTCATAACTTTTTTGGGGGGTGCTGGGGATTGAACCCAGGAACTTGTGCATGTGAGGCGAATGTTCTATCAATGAACTATATTCTTAACCCAGAAATTGAATTTTAGAAATGGATTGCCTAAGAAAATACTTAGGGATAAACCTGAAAAAATAAGTGAAGAATTTATACATTAT